TATATATATATATTTCTTTTTATTATTAGTGCCATGAAAAAATAATCAGTTAGAGAGTTTAATTCTTTATCAAATAACACTTTTAAATTTGTAATAATATAACATTTTTTTTATTCACAATTATTATACGTTTAGATTGCTATGTATATATGCTTTGTATTTAGTTATAATGTATATTTGCAATGATAAGTAAAAATCTATACAATAAAAATTAGACATTGCATTTCAAAAATGCATTCTGCAAGTGTTTTGTCACCTGCTTATATATCTGATGTTGCCTATCAATAATATAAAAAGGCACAATGTGGCATATATTCTTAATATACGTACAACAATGAAAAAAGTTTATCTAATTACAATTGTTATTCAATTTGATCAATGTAAAAGTATTGATCAATTACAAACTATTGCTGATTCTAATGGCGCATTTCTGGCGCTTTAGAAAAGAATTGATCCTTTTTTTTTTTTGTTTTTGCAGTTATCTATACATATTCGGCATTTCTTATTCTTTGTTAATATAAATCGCGCAATATCTTTTATTAAAAACCGCAAAGATTCATAATATAAATCAGATATATGTATCCAACCATATATGCTTTGAGAATTTTAGCATAAATTTATATCATATTTGTACATAATTATCTTGTTTAGAAATATTTATAAGAATATTTTTGTAAATTTTTCTATCTCGATAACATTGTTTGACAAAAACTAACTTTTTTAAATTAAAAAAAGAGTAATTATTCCTATAGTCTTTAGGATGAATACAATTTCCAAAATGCTCTATTAGGTTACAATTTTGAAAGATTTGAGATTCTTATAAGTCTTGAAAAGAGAAACTTTTTTTTTATATACTTTACTGTGCCATAGCTATGGCACAATTTACTGTAAGTTTTTTTATTCGAAATTAAATGTATTAGAAGTTTGTCTTCAAAAGAAATTCGTTGCAAAGATTAATGTTAGTAAGATTTTTGTGATTAAATATCGAGTTTGTCATAGGAAAGTTATACATTAAGCCATTAAGGATCATAAACACTTTACCGAACATTTTTCAATTATTTATTCAAACTTAAGTTTTCAATTTACTAAATACAGATCTAATATAAAAGCAACTGAAGCAGTCTATTTTTTGTACAATTTTGACCTTAAATTAATTAAAATTGTAACACAATAGAGCATTCATGAAATCGTATTATGTGTGCATAAAAATTATAAGGAATGATTATCTTTTTTCTTAGTTCTTTTCTTTGAACTGTGTAATAGTTTAATATCATCGGCGCTTTTTTCAAAAATACCTTTCTATAAAATTTTTATATTTTTATATGATATTGTTTGGTGTGATGTACAATCATCTTCATCGGCCGAGCGTCGAATAGAATTTAGGCTGCAAGAGAAAATAAACTTCTATATTACACATAATATATTGATTTTGTGAAATATATGTATATATTAAAAAGTTATATATATAACATTTTATAAAGACACTAACATTTTTATAATAATAGTAGATGCACAATATATAAATAATATAGAAAAAAATAACAATTATAAAAGAGATGAAGGAATAATTAAATGTACTTTAATTGTTTTTAATTTTCAGATAAGTGATGCACGTATTACGGACAGATATTGGTTTTTGTCAAAACTAAGAAGGAACCTAATTATTAATTACCTCATCGTGATTCTCTTCCTTATTTCCCTCATCGTCATCTCCAGAGCTGTCCCCTCCTGAGCTATCAGCGGAATTACGTTGCTGATCTTTGTTATTTAAGCTATTCACAGCGGTTGTGGGTATAGCTTTGATTTTACTAGCGGCATCGTAACATTGTAAACAAACTCTGACGGCCTTCCCGTTCCCCTGTCCAGGTAATAATAATTTTTTATTACTGCAGGGACCGCAAACTACCGCTCCGCATTGCCTACAGTGATGCTGAAATGGAGAGCACAATTATTTCAATATATTTTCAATCATTTTATTTAAACTGATTAAATTAATAAGAGAGTCTTGCAATTACCCGTCTGTTTAATACTGTAAACTGTGTCTTATTGCAGTGCATGCAAATTGTAGCTTCATTATCTGGTACCCAGACTGCTGCGTGAATTTCGACAGGCTTTTTGCCACCTGTAAAAATGTAGAGAAATAAAAAGGATTAAAATATAAAAAGAATCAATTGCATATCTATGAAATGTCGAGATTTACATTTTGCAAAGATATGTTTTTAACACTTTAGCTTTTACTTACTCTTTCTTAATAAATCTTCAATACATTTTGTGATATGTGCCATCCATTCTTGCTTCTCTGTTGCAGTAGCAGCATAAACAGCAAACGACTTTGTTACTGTTTTAATGAGCCACCCATTACGATATTCTATAAATAATGATCCAATACTATACTAACATTTTCTAAGTATGATTTGATTATTGATCTATATGCTGTGTAATATAATTGAAGAGCTCTATTTATAATGATAAGAGTGCAAAGGGGAAAGTAGTAAACAGATATATCTATGACAAGAATATAATCAGATGATAATTCTCTATATACAAAATATATTATTTATAACAAATATAAATTTAAAGACAAAAAATATGATATAAATGAATACAGGATGATTTTCTGTTAAAAATAAATTTGAATAAATTTGCGATAAATTTTTATTTAGGGCTTTATTTTTCTGAGAAAAATAATTTTGGGATTTTGTCAATTTATTATATGTATATATTTGTATGACATGTTTACACATAGTTTGATGAATTTCCTATATATTATTATTTCCATTCATATTTATGTAAATAACAAACACAATCACTCAAAAGTTTTGAGAAAATTAAGTTCTTGAATTCTTTCCTTGATCCTTACTTATGAGGCCATGTAAAAAATTAACATATAAAGCTTTAATTTATCATGAAAATCTTATTCACTTAAAAGACAACATTCCAGTTTTTGAAAAAACAAAAATTTCAAGTAAGAGTTTATGAATCCTTAGATAGAAGAACACAGTTATTCATTCAATAAAGTTATTTTCAATAATTTATGTGTGCATTAGTAAAATAAAGGAAGTATAAAACTGAAATTTTTGACAGAATTTGAAATTAGTTTTCTCATGTTTTGCATGGAAGAAATTTGCACATATATTGCAAAATATCAATTTATATATTATAGTAATTAATATTGTTCAAAAAATTGTATCAATATACACACACACTATATATAATACAAATGTTTGCACATGCTTCTGAGATATTTTAGACATTTTTAAAGTACTCTACATAACAGAAGAAAAACAAAAATTTTACTATACACACAAGTGTATTAAGTAGTATGACAATGTACTTACGACCCTCATCAGCTAGAGACTCTAATTTTACCTCCTCCAGTGGTATTATATGTTGTTTGTTATACTGTGAACAAATTGTTATTACTATTAATATTACTGCCATAGTTTTATAATAATCGTTATATACATAACATATTATTGCACTCTGTTATAGGATACACACTTTTTTCTTATTAATTACGATATTTCCGTAGACCAGTATATCGTTGAACAGAAAGAATTGCCTGGGTTTGGGCTTCTTCCTGCACATTTTCGTCAGGACACCTTCTCCCACCAAAACTCGGCCAGGTACCGCGAGTGGCTATCGGATGAAGAGAATGAATATTCATTAGTGAGTCATATCGACATCGCTCCAGCTAGTCGCAAACGTTTATTTAAATAATTAAGTATTAGTCAATTTATGTATGCAATTATAGATTATATATATATATACTCTCTCACCTGACCCGAACCGCCAAAGCAGTTTTCGACCATCGCGATCCGCCTGGCATTGGCCTCGCTGTTTACTGAAACATATCAAAAGAGAGGGGGTGAACACAAATGTCGAACACACCCACAATCTCCTGAGCGAAAACGATATATATATATATGTCATATATGTATAAGAATCATCTTAGCGTCAACTCCGTTCTTTTTAGCGACGCTCGTACATCCTTTTTTCGTTTTTCTTTCGCGAGCAACGACCTTGAAATGCATACATGCATCTCTCCATTTGAAACACACGGGAAAAGTAACGCGAAAGAGAGAGAGCGCGGCTAAACAGAGCGAGATAATCGTCAACGCTAGAGTCGAAGCTGTCAAAAACACACACGGCCCACTTGATGATAGCTCGTGGAACCGTTATCCCCGAATCGCACGAATTTTACGGGGAAGACGAAGGAGAAAAACGGGAGAAGACTCGTCGCGGGACGCGCGATCCTTCCACGAGGTCGTTCACGACCGCGGCGTCCTCGTCTTTTTGTAAAATACGCGATATTAATTAAATGCTAATAAGCGGAGCACGAACTAACCCAATCGGTCGACCATGATCCTCTGAATCAGGGCTGACAACAGCAGGAAGCGTGAATCACGTCCATGTCTCCGTCGAGTTTCGTCGTTTATCCGCGCGACTCGCGCTTATCGAGAACTGACGTCTGATAGGCGGAAAGTTTATCAGCTCGTATCTCGTAGACCGAGAGAAAAATAAAAGAGAGAGAGAGAGAGAGAGAGCGGTCATCGTATTCGAGCTGGGTTGCGTTCAAAAATCTACTTGTCAAACGAAGTAGCTTTTTATTGACCAATCAGAACAGAGGAATCTTTACCCTTTTATTCCGATTGGCCAATCGAGCTATAGTTTGACAAGTAGATTTTCGAACGCGACCAAATCATGCGAGTCTATGTATTTTTATTTTATCTATGGTTATAGGAGACGATCTATCGATACTGCTCGAAATAAAGCGCGATCCTATCAATATCGTTACCGCTCGAACGTCACATGATTACAAACCCTCATCGCTGTGACGGATCGTTACGGACGATCGGACGAGTTCGTTTGACAAGCGTCAAAGGACGTATATTCGACGAATTTTCGAGTGTTGGTGCGAGAAGCGGATGCGTCGCTATTAGATTGAATTCGATTATTCTACTTGGACGATTTTATCGGTGAGGATGAAGATCTGCGGACCCAAGTACGCTCTGTGCGGTCTAATACTGTCCGTTTGGGGCATATTTCAACTAGTAAGAGATATATTATAATCGTTTCCTTCCCTTACACGAGAAAGATCTCTCCAAACAGCCAAGTTAATCTTTTTCTTTTCTCGCCCTTAGCTTCTCATGGGTGTATTCTTCTACGTCCGGAGCGTAGCACTGGTGGAGGACCTCCCTCTGGGAGAAGAGACGGTGTTCACCTCGCTGGATAACTTTTACGACGTGATGGATCGCGGTTACACGCAGAACGCATACAACTGCTGGATCGCCGCGTGCATCTATGTCCTCACCTTCCTCTTCTCGGGCCATCAATTCTATCTCAATTCCAGATCATCTCTTAGCGTATAAGCAAATACCCAATGGATGTTCAAGGATGCTGCAGAGCGTCCAATTTGTAATTCTGTACAGCTGCGAAACAAGTATACATGAAAGATTTAATTATAGCTGCATTAGATTGTCATTATACTGTACAGCTATATAATTGAGTTGTGTAATCCAAACGCAATATTTACCTGTGGCAAAATGCTCGAATGTTTCTACAAGAACAACAAAGAGATATAATTTATCACATATGTATATTAGCGACGTTTCCACAGGTATCAGTATACAATATCATATAACTGAAATATGGAAGACAAATTATGCAATTCGTAGAAGTTTCATAATTTGTTTTATTTATCATATAGAGATAATATATTTCAGTCATTAAATTTTAATTCTACTTTATATTACATACATTATTAATATAATAATATATTTAATAAATTGTTCAACGAATAACAACAATGTTTCCCTGTAATCTTTCAACTGTATAATCTATACACAGCGCAATGTTTACAATTTTTTGTTTTCCCAAAAAAGAAAAAAAAAATATATATATAATATATATCATTGGAAACATTTGTTTACTGAGAGGTCTGCTCTTATGTTCTGTTTCTCATTTTCTTTACTCTTTAAAAAAAAGATACTTGTTTCATTTTCAATAGAGTAGAAAAAAGAAAGGCCTTTTTTTCTATAAATTAAGAAAGAGAAGCAAAGTTGTGTGATTCGTGCACCTTTGATTATATTATCGCTCTTATCGACGGCGATAAAAAGCATATATCAAAATAAGCGTCACGTGATAGTCTAGATGACACAAGAATGAGGTCACTAATATACACAACGCGGCACGTTTCATAAGGGAACGGTTGATAGATTGATAGGTTAAAACTCTTGATCTTGAGTATCTCTTTGATTTTGATATATACCGAACGAATATATTTTTATCAAAATTTAATTAAGTGGAACGGGTCAAACTACACATTTGCCAGAATAACGAAGTAACGTATGACAGTCTTACATTCTTTATCACATTCTCTCTTTTCGCTAAATAATCCGGCGTTTATGTTTGAATCACTATTTTGTGAGTCATACCGTTGTTTCTTCATAAAAATAACGTAAATTATTTTTTATTATAGAGAAGCCAGGGCTATTTATGCCGAATAACGATCTCTCACGATGGAGCCTGGTACGAGCAGCCCGACAGATGATTACACGGAGATAATACGAAAACTTCCCGTTTACTTGAAATTAGCCTACGGCACGGGTCATGTACTAAACGACATTTGCGCTTCCATGTGGTTCACCTATCTGCTAGTATTCTTTCATCTGGTTCTCGGATTCGATCCGACTTTGGCTGGCGCCGTGTTACTCATTGGTCAAGTAGCGGATGCCCTGGTCACACCGTTTGTCGGCTATCAGTCCGACAGGAACGACAACTTTTGGTTGTGCCGATATGGCAGGAGGAAAACTTGGCACTTGATAGGTATAATTCGCACCCCCATTATTATGTCATGCTTCTGCTTTGCAATATTATAATAGTCAATTTGATTTGCAGGCACCATTTGTGTACTACTAGGATTCCCATTTATATTTTCGCAATGCATCGGCTGTGAATACGCACATCAATATGCACAGTTAGTTTATTACGCTGCTTTTGTCGTAATCTTTCAATTTGGTTGGGCAGCGGTACAGATATCGCATTTAGCCTTAGTCCCAGAGCTAACGCCTTCTGAACACGAGAGGACTGAACTCATAGCTATAAGGTAATTGCAAAAGAATCATCAAGGAAATAGAATATGTAGAATAATCAGTCGTTGAAGAAACTTTAAATATGCATATATAAATAAAGCCTTTATTTCTGTTGTAATCTTACACAGATTCACGTTTACTGTCTTCTCCAATGTTCTCGTTTACTGCATTATGTGGGGTGTGCTACATGTAACGAGCGATGAGTATAATTCTCAGATTGGACCTGGTGACATTTATAAATTTCAAGAAGTTATTCTAATTGGGCTAATAGTTGGACTCATAGCATCCATTATATTTCATGTTGTTGTTAAGGAAAGTGCTAATGGCGATGCTAATGGTAATGGAACGCAATTAATTGAATGTTTCAATTTTGTAACATATATATTATTTGATAGTTGTCGGGAATTTTCAAGATCTTATAACAATATTGAAATTTTTAGGTAGTTTTTTACATAGAAACGGTAGGACAGCATTAGTGCTATTGCGTGACTTCAGATTGTATCAGATAGCTTTTGTCTATATGCTTACACGACTATTCATCAATTTGTGCCAGATTTATATGCCTTTGTACTTACACGAGTCACTGAATATGCCTGCCACTTCTCTGGCTTATATACCATTGACGATGTATCTGAGTAGTTTCTTGACATCCTTAATCATAGAGAGACTTAACACGAAATGGGGTCGAAAAATTGCATATTCTATTGGCGCTTTGCTCGCGATATGCGCTTGCATATGGATACAATTTGGCAATGATGATACATACACCAAATATCAGATCTATGCTGTTGCTGTATTGTTAGGTAAATAAAGCACAAGCTTGATATATACATAATGCGACATTAAGTCTCATAAGCTTAAGAAATTTAAAAATAACTTGCTAATTTAATTTTTCGTTATGTGTTCCAGGTTCTGCTGGTGCAATAATGTTGGTGACCAGTCTCGGTATCACTTCGGATCTGATAGGGAGAAATACCGAGAGCGGTGCTTTCGCCTACGGAATTATGAGTTTTACAGATAAGATGAGTAATGGTCTAGTGGTTATGCTCATTCAGTACTTGGTGAAGTAAGTATGAATGTTTAATATTCGAGAATATATTCCTCAAATTCTTTTTCTCTTCATTTTATCATCCAAGGAATCACAAGTTGAAAGAAGTCTCACTTACGCTTGTCTTTCAGACACTTGTCGTCCGGTTATGCCAGTTATTACTATAGAAATATTCTTACATACGTTTGCGGTGTATCCGCGGCCTCCGCTATGCTGATGATTCTATATATTAAACCGTTCTCGCGTGTTACGGGTACGTTTAAGATGCGCATACTCGTGCGTCATATAATAATGAAAATTATAAAATTCCAATATTTCGTCATGTAAATGTGAAAAATTATTTTAGTCTTCGATACTTTACACAATGATGAGGACGAGGGTTTCATAGAAACTCCAAATCCGATCGACGGAAACTCGGACCAACAGCCGCAAACTAATACATAATCTACGCCAATATATAGTTTGCAAATATTTTAGCACAAAATATGTAAGATACAAAGATATATTCATATTTATTTTAAGAAAAAAAGAAAATAAGCAATATATATGCTATGCGCGCGCTATGATATGTGATATGTATTGAGAGCAGATTATTATATTTTTTATTCGAGATCTACGATTGATATTATCGTTGATATTAATACAATTTTATATATTTTAATAATGTTATTGTAACATTTATTTCTTTCGTTCTATTTTAATGCATTTAATGTAATACGAGATTAATGTAGACAACTTTTTGAATTAAATATTTTAAATTTTTAATTCAAGTATAATATATTTTGTGTAAAGAATCATAATGTGGATAACATTAGTATTACTTTCACAACTCTAACGCGATTGTCATCTATGCGCACATATTCCATTTAAAAAATACATACACTCGTTATTTACGTATATTGCATATATATTGCATTTCATTATGCAAGCGTAAAAGCATGCAGAAATAATCTCAAGTGTTATTATCTCATTGATTATTTTAATCTGAAATTATCTTTTTCTCGTTTTCTCATTTCTCTTTTATCTCTTGTATATTTTTAATTTCATCTTATATCAAGATGTTTTAGTTTTACTATGAAAATAAGTCAGTATTATTGTACAACTCAAAAATGGTAAAACAAATGAAATATATAATGAGCCATAGTATTCTAGATCTATAGCTAAATTTGTCGAAAAGAAATCTTGTAAAGCCTTTATTAACAAAATTTATCTACAGAAGAGCTATCAAATTCAATGCACAATTTAATATTGTTATCTTGCAAAACTATAGCACAATTTAGCAAGATGTAAGAGAGAAATGAGACTTAAGACACATTCTGACGTGGCGAAAACTGAACAGAATTTACGTTTGATCGATTTCGCGATCAATTTTTACCGTCTTATTGCAAGCTTATCAGAAAAGTCACGAGCTTAACGCGATGTTAAATATGAATGCGTAATTCATGCTATTGCAATTTTTTCTCGAATCTGCTGCCAGTTTTCTCCCCTCCGAACGGGTTTCCACCTTGGCGTGGTGGAGGGGCTTACAGTTGCATCCAAAGGTTCATCTGTTCAGAGATGAACTTATGGATGCGACTAACCAAGAGGAACCCCCCAAGCCAAGGCGTTAGCAACCGTGCCGAGGACTGCGTGGCACAAGGGAAGTTGCGTCGCGAACGGTGCCTCCTGGATACCGGGTGACCTTCAGGAGTATTAGCCAAGCCCCGGATATTCGCGGCTCTATCCGGGTGATACCGCACGACCGCGGTACTCGTGGGATTAAGATGGAATACTATGGAAATAATGATAAACTAAACAACACACTTCTCCAGGGCGCGACTACTTTGGTCGGCGAACAGGAGGAAAAACAATCGCAAAACAACCTGAAGACAAAGGCAGTTAAGGATCATCCCCAGGGAGATAAGAAAATTCGCAGGTATAGCGGAGCTGCCCGACGCAGATTTAAGAAACAGCTCGAGAAGGAGAGGATGGAGAGGAAAAACCAATCGATCACTTCAAACTCGACTGGCGAAGATAAAAAGAGAGACGAGATTGAAGAGGTTAGCCCGTTCAACAAACGTCCTAGAATGAACGATAACTCGCTCAATTCATCTATGGAGTACTTGTGCAAAGAATCTGAGGTCAATGATCAAAAAACTTCAAGCTCAAATGCTCAAGTTACATACGAGGTTGGTCCGTTCAGAATGTCTAAATTCTCTAGACTGAACGATAACATACTCAACTTGTCTATGGATCACTTGTGCAAAGGATGTGAGGACAACGACCAGGAAATCTCAAACTCAAATGCTCAAGTTACATCCGAGGTTGATCCGTCCAAAGTGTCTAAATGCTCTAGACTGGATGATAACATACTCAACTTGTGTATGGATTACTTGTGCAAAGGATGTGAGGACAATGACCAGGAAGCTCCAAACTCAAATGCTCAAACTACATACAATTTCTTCATAATCATGAAACATCCCGAAAGAAAACTAACCAATAACGAGGTATCTACTGTGAGAAGATTGGTGATGAAGCATGTCCTCAGCATGTCCAAGGACGCAAGATTTCCCCGCTTTTACAGTAACACCGAATGGAACGGCGCAATCTTTTTTAACTGCGCCAACAAAGAGACTGGCGAATGGCTAAGTAATCTAACGCCAGAATTGATTCTAGACGATGGGGTTCAATTGCGCATATTGGATATTGATGAGCTTTCTAAGGGTCACCTTGCTACAGTGCACGTGAACGATTCTGAGATCACTATTAAGGACGTTTTATTCTTACTTGAAAATCAGAATGAGGGCTTGGTTACCAACGATTGGATCATCTTTGGCAGCGAAAACAGGGACGCCAAGAGTCCCTTTATTGTGTATTTTCGGGATACGTCGCTAGAGGTCTTAAAAGCATTGGAATTTAGACCTTTTTGCGGTCTGGGCCGGGCAGTCATAAAGCTCAGAGAACGGAAAGACAGTGATGATGAAATCGAGAATGAGAAGGCATCGACTCCTCATTTAAATAAACCTGCAACAGAAGTGCCTCGATTGTTTTAGTCGGAAGAACGACTGCACGGATATTATCATCACGTACAATTTCTTTCGCAGCTTAGTCAAGATTTTGGATTAGATACTATTACAGACAGATCCTGGATTGGATATTTATTGCAGATAAATTTATCGCAGTATTTTTCATATCTTTACTATGGCTGTATTTTTTTTTTTTTTTTTTTATAAATAT